TGATTTCAGAGAGAGGTCGGGAGAGGGAGAGGGAGAAATATTGATGGGCTCCCCCTATATTCCCTCTAGTGGGGATCAAGACTGCGACCTGGGCAGGTGCCCTCACCAGGAATTGAACCCTCAACCTCTTGGTGCATGGGAGAACACTCAACCAACTCAGCCACACCAACCAGGACAAGGTTTTTAAGCTTTTAAAAATAAAGGAAATACTGCTTTTGACTAGGACAACATTGCCGTACAATTTATGATATAGCTATAAGAGCCATTCATTTAAATAATGCACATCTCAAAAATGGCTCGCTTGTGTTGACTGTCTACTTTAACAGTTAAAAAATTAAAACCATCATTCTGACAATGTATCAGTAATTCCCACATCCATAAAATACTGAAGGAGGCAACTATCACGGTGATAGTAATTTTAAAGTCAAAACAAGCATAAATCCGATGTAAGAGTCTCTACAGAAAATGTTCGGAACACACAAGGTTGCATGCATTTCCAGCTGAACTTGCAAAGAATCTACCTATAACCAAATGACAATTTTGAAAGAAACATGAACATCAAAATACTCAAGCTTCATGACGAAGTTACTCTAATAAAACAAGAAAAATAGAAGAGTGAACAGTAATAGCAGTATATTTTTTGGGAGGGAGAGAAATCACCCACTTCCTTGTCATAAAAAAGTCAGTATTTTAATAACACTGGCCATCAAGTTATTCACTGCTGGAGCATTCTCTTCCAAGTTCGGTCTTTAAAATGTATTCACTCATACATTTGGATTAAGTTTATTCATCAAACACCACTGTAGTCAGAATTCTAACCTTAAGTTTAAATCATAACTCATCAAAGCAGAGCCCAAACACTCTATAACAATCCTAGCCTTCAGTCTGTGAATGCCTCATCTGAAAAACTGATTTTACAGACAGGAGTGTGACCCCGCTTCTCCGGAGTAAACGCCTGTTTGCCTAAAACTTTGTGGCAATCAAACAGGTGGATTCAAGGAGCTGCTGCTAAGTTTCATCGGGCTTTGATAAAAGCAGAGCCATCGGGGGCCGTGGCCCCATCTTCCCTCTCACTGACAGTCTCCACGGTCCCCGAGGCGGACACAATAACCATGGTTTTATGATCTGAAACCGGCTTTTGTTTCTCAGCAATAGCTGCGCAAACGGCGACAATCTCATCACTTTCAAAGTCATAGTCGGGAATGGACTTGGGTGAGACATGTGCGACTTCCGCTGGTGCTTCTTTTTTTTTAATCCTCTGGGCTACCTTCTGCTGCTCCTGGAGCTTTCTTGCCCAAGAAAGGTCTTCTTTCCATATTTCTGGGTTCATTGGATAGATATGAAGGGCTACTTGAAAACTTCGAATTGCCAACACTATCTCTCCTAGTCCAAGCTGAGCACGCCCCAGAGTTTGCCAAGACTCCCATGAATGTGTGTTTTGTGTTTTTTTTTAAAAAATGTGTTTAGCATAATCCACAATATCTGCATGTATATATATATAAAATATAGTATATAGATGTAAAAATGGAAGTTAGGGCGGTGGCCTAACCATGGACGATGACTATGAAGAAAAACACAAAGTTTATAAAACTGTGAAAGGGATTGACAAGTTGCTGATGAGGATTTAAAGTCCATCAAAATAGAGGTACTGATATTAGAGCTCAAAACAAGGCACACATTTTCAGCTTCTGCAGATCAGCTAATACGTGAATCCAGTGATTTCCAGGGCTAAATCAGGGTCAGGAAGGTGCCAGCAACGCACAACGCTGAAGCCAAGAGTCTAGATCACAGTAATGCTAACATGCACTGAGTGTCACGGGAGATCAAGGCAGACGCTGCATAACGACAAATGGTCGACTCCCCATAATTATATAACACTTATCAAAACATACGCACCCAACATCAGAACACCTGTGTGTATAAAGTCAACACGGACAGAACTGAAGGGAGGAACATCAATAAGGAAACAGAAGATTTGAGCAACGGACCACACAGACCTACACAGAACCTTCCACCCAACAGCAGCAGAACAGACATCTTGGCGAGTACACATGGAACATTTTCTAGGACAGAAAACATGTTACACCACAAAACAAGTCTTAACAAATGTAAAAAGGCATGTCAACCATCTTTTCTGACCAAAATGGAATAAACTACAAATCAATAGCAAAAGGATAATGGGGAAATTCACAAATATGCAGACAGTAGCGTACTCTTGAACAATCAGTAAGTTCAAAAAGAAATCAAAGAGAAATTAAGAAAGATCTTGACAAAAAATGAAAATAAAAATACACTAAAATGATGAGATGCAGCAAAAGCAGAAAAGGGAAGTTTATAGCGCTAAATGCCTGTTAAAAAAGAAAAATCTCAAGTAAAAAAAAAACCAAAAACACCTACCTTTACACCTCAAACAATTAGAAAATGAAGAACCAAGCCTATATTCATTTTCCAACAAATACACCCAATTCTGTATAAAAATATAAATAATTATTTATAGAGCTCTACCAACTATTGACTTTTAATTTATTATCCGTTCTATTTAACTATGTATTTTCTTATGTTTATATATATGGGTGGGGCAAAGTAGATTTATAGTTGTGAGTGCACAAAATAGAGTTTATTCTTGTATTATTATTTATTAATTATTGTATTATTTTTCATACAAATAACTATAAACCTACTTTTGCCCACCCCTGTAATAAGAACTGTTATGTCAGAAATTTCAGCTTGCTTTCAATATATTTTTCATAGTATCCCTTCATTATGACATTGAGTAACTTTTTAACCATTCCAGTCTTTCAAAAGAACAGGTTAAGTTTACATAAATATGACAAATTTAGAATTTTTTCAAATAGAGCCCTAAAAAACATTAAAGGAGGACAAAATAAGTTTTAATTCCTCCAAGAATTTCACAATATAATGGGCAAAACCATATAAGTAGAAAAAAATAAAACAGTTAAACAATGAGTACTCTTATTTAAAAAAACTTAAAATTTTGCCCTGGCCCAGATGGCTCAGTTGGTTAGAGTGTCACCCCATACACCAAAAGGTTGCAGGTTCAATTTTCAGTCAGGGCACAGACCTAGGTTTCAGTTTCGATCCTGGTCAGGATGCGTTCAGGCTATGTGAAAATTTTTTATTAACTTTCATGATTCAAATTACCTGAAAAATATTCTGACCCTGATTGAATTGGTGTTTATGATGTAAATAACAGTAATAACTCTGACCTGTGTTTGTGGTTTAATACCTTTAAGGGTTGATTGGCTATTTATTTTTTGCACAGATTTGATAAATGACTAACGTCTGGGTTGAGCTGATCAAAACATGTCAAAACAAAATTTTAGCATCATAGCCCTGGCCAGTGTGGCTCAGTTGGTTGGAAGTTGTCCAGTGCACCAAAAAGTTGCCGGTTCAATTCCCGGTCAGCCGATCTATGTTTCTCCATCACATCTCTCCCTCTCCCTTCCTTTCTCTTTAAAATTCAATTTAAAAAATCTTTAAAAATAAATAAGTAAATGTTAAAAAAACAGAATGTCAGCATCATAATCAGATACCGGACTTCCTTACCAACACTATCTCTCCTAGTCCAAGCTGAGCGCGCCCCAGAGTTTGCCAAGACTCCCATGAATGTGGGTTTCTCTGCACAGCCATCTCTGCTGCGTGAACTGCAGGGAACATTTCATGAAGTGACATTAGGACCTACAGTCAAACAAAGAAACAAAACCTGTCAGTAATATTCATAAACTAGCAAACTACTAATAGATAACCATACATAAGTAACTCTTTCCATTTTTAAAAACATATTTTCAGTCTGGTAAACATAGTATTTCAGTGGTTTTGACTCCTCCACTGCCATTCAGGGTCAGGAATCACATTCTTCTTCCTTCTCCTGAAAATCTATAAAAATGTAAACCATTCCCTTTCCAATAATTGAACACTGTTGTCCATCAGTCAAAACCATGCAGTCATACTCTCGCCATGGTAGCTCAGAACTATTTGATCTCTCAATTCCACTTCTATTTATTCCACTTACAATGTGGATTTTAGGGTACCCCAGGTGTTCAACCACCCACCCTAACCCCAGTGAACACCTTCCTGCTATAAAAGCCATGCAAACATTCCACAGGCCTCCCCACAACTGGGTTCTTCACACCACACACCAGAAAAACCAGGGCGTTCCTGAACCCTTCACCTTTAAAAAAAAAAGGGCTGCATATTATCAATAATCTTTGGGAACACATGCATTTCACAAAATTTGTGAAACAATCATCATTATCAAGTTCCAAATTAAACAACACATTTCATACAATTCACCACAAATCCTGCCTTTAATATGTATATACAGATTCAAGATTGAAAATGACTTATCTAGCCCGGCCAGAGTCACTCAGTGGTTGAGCACTGACCCATGAACCAAGAGGTCACTGGTTGGATTCCCAGTAAGAGCACACAACCACCTGGGTTGCAGGCTCAATCCCCAGTAGCATGCGTGCAGGAGACAGCCTATTGATGTTTCTCTCTCATTGATGTCTCTCTCTCTCTATCCCTCTCCCTTTTCCTCCCCCTTCCCCCCAATCAATAAAAACACTTTTTAAAAAAAGAAAATTATTTATCCAAATGATGGTCCTCATACCACTTTTATTTAGTAGACATAATTTGGGTTTTTCCTGGATAAACTAAAATCAAAGCTGATAAAGAATGTACCCTATGTTTGAGCTCATCATCAGGAAAGATGTTAGGCACATGGATGAAGGCAGCATTGCAACTATTTCCTGCCAAAAATATGATCAATGCTTTGAGATTTGAAGTTCTCTTAGATAATTTAATCCAAGTGCTCAGAGGTTTTCTTTATAAACTTTCCCACAAAATGTTAAAAATGTATTTTTAAGTACAAATGGTATTTTTATTTTTTATTTTTTTTAAAGTAACATCGCTTTTACTTATTTTATTTATTTATTTTAGTAATACTGCTTTTAAATATATTTTATTGATTTTTTACAGAGAGGAAGGGAGAGGGATAGAGAGTTAGAAACATCGATGAGAGAGAAACATCGATCAGCTGCCTCCTGCACACTCCTTACTGGGGATGTGCCCGCAACCAAGGTACATGCCCTTGACCAGAATCGAACCTGGGACCTTTCAGTCCACAGGCAGACGCTCTATCCACTGAGCCAAACCTGTTAGGGCACAAATGGTATTTTTAAACTATTAATAAATTGAGCCTATTCTGACGTTTTGCTAAGGACTAGGCCATTTTTCAGAGAAATATCATCTAGAATCCAATCCACTAGAAGAAAGTTATTGCAAAATCCACTACAATTAATTTCCAAGGAAAGCAAACACATTTCAGTTATTTACGAGATTACCAGAGACTTTTTAAAAGATGCCCATCTGCTCATATCATAGTTAGGTTGAAATAGCAGTTAACTGCATTATGAAGGTAAACAAATTTCTAATTTGATACATAAGAAAAACTCATAAATAATATCGTAACAATTTCTCCCCAAATAAACTATTTTAGTAGTAAAAAGAAAATAGCAGGAAATGCTATTTTGGTTCATCAAGCTCATCAAACAAACACAGTGCAATTTCATAATGAAAGTGGTCTTCTTCATAGCCCTTACCTGTGACTTCATCTCATATAGGGTAGCATCATCTGGGGTTAACTGCAGTGCTTCATCCCACTTCTGAATCGCCTCTCGATATCTGTGGTTGTTAAAGTAACATTTATATCATATTTCTAATGAGTCCTTGAGAGCACATGACCAAATTTAAAAATCAGATACTAAGGAATAATTATTTATCAAGCAATATCTCTATTCAAGAACTGATAGCAATGATGTTACAAAAAGTAGGAAAATTTAAGAGATAAAGGGAAAGGAGACCAAAAGAAAAAAAAAAAGCAAAATATAAATAAAAAAAGATTTTGAAAAGCTTTCTCCAAGATTTTATTTCCTGGGCTGAGCAATCACCACGAGAATTTCTCTTTTTCTCATCAACCTCAATGTCGGCACATGGTGTCAGTCATTTTAGATGCCTCACAGAGAACTTTTCTGAAGACTTTACAATCCAGTGCGGCCCTGGGCTCTAGACTGCAGCCGTCTAGCTGACAGACAGCAAGAAGCTGCCGGGAATTGTGTACAGACCCTTCAGTGTTCAGTGACCTTGCCTATGAGGCCCATGAACACAGAAGCACTGTCCTGTCCATCACTATGAACACAGGCACGTGGATAAGATGGGGGCTGAACAAATGAAGCAAGTATGGAGGTCACTTCCGCCACGCCTTTCACTGATGTTCTCTTCGTCACGTCTCTGCTGAGCTCCAAAGCCATGTAGTCAACAGCATCTCCATCTAGATGGCCCAAAAGCACCTCAGACTCCACGTGCCCCAAACTGACCTCTGCACACTCCAGGCCAAACCTGCAGCAGCACAGAAGCACTCTTCCTTTCTAAAGGAATGACAAGTCCTACATGTTAGCCAAAGCAGTCACCTTCACAGCACCCTTCACGAAAGTTAACTCATGTATACTTGAGTATTTCCAGAAGGAGAAAGTTTTAATTAGCAGAACATTTTTCATTGTACCTTTTTGTCTTGTACCTTTCGCCCAATGCTACTGGTTCTGGTTTCTAGAGCTAAATAGAAAATATATAGTCCACCAGTTTTCATTCCTGGCTACATACAGAATGATCTATGGAGATTATGGAGGAAAAATACACACACACACACACACACACACACACACAAGCTGGTCCCTGCCTCAGATCAATTAAAACAGAAATTCTCAGAGTAGGACTCAGGTATCTGTATTTTTCCAAAGTCCCAGCTAATGCTAATAAAAACCAGGGGGGAAGAGCCGATTTTAATATCTCTCATAGTACAGTAAGCCCCATCATGTTCTATCTTGTCTGGAATCAGTTCTTGTTGCCTATTTTCCAGTTCCCTCATGTCCTCTGTATGTGTTCTTGAGTATAATTCCCTACCCAGCATGAGAAGATCCAAACCAAACATGACTAAAAATGTACTGATTTGTAACCAGGGGGCAGAGAACGGAAAAAAAAAAAAAAAAAAAAAAAAAACAGAGGCAGAATTTGGCAGAAAATACAAAGTGGAAGAACATAAACAAAAGTACATTCTCTCTGTATTCACCTTGCTATAGAATAGTTCCTTTATTAGGAAGTAACACAAATGGGCAACACCATTTCCAGGGTCTGATGCCACCTGGGCACATGCAAATGGGCGACAGCCAGCTGAGAATCAGTCTGCCACAGCCAGCAGCGGTGAGGGCCCCGGAGGGAGTGAGCTTTGCTCAGCCTGCCTCACCGGCCACTGTTGGTGTGGCAGTGGCCGCGGTTATCTCGCAGCAGCAGACTGTGTGTGACAAAGCTGAAGACTCACCCCACCGAGGCTGGTGGTCCATGCAGCACATCCGAATGTGCAGAGATGGCTGCCAGATCTACTGCAGGGACCACTATGTGCAAAACCTTTGTAAGGGACAAAGATAGAACAATCTTCCTTCTAAATTTTAGAAATAAACTGTAAATAAATGTTTATGAGGGAAAATTCTCTAGAGGCGAAAAACAGATGATAAATGGGACAGGAATATTACATTTTTAAAATTATCATTTATGAATTAACAGATGCAGGCAAGACCATCAGTGGGTGCTTCCCTTCTCCTGGCCTACAATAAAGGGTAACACCACTTGCAGGTCATGGGACACTTGGCACCTAATACACCAACCGTCTCCCTTATTATGCTCTCACAGACCATGATGCAGATACGCTCCACAGAGGACCTACTAACTCAACTTCAGTTTGGAACACACTGAGCAGGCACAGCCCTACTACAGCTGTTGGATAGGAGGCATTAAAAGATAAAAACGTGGTTTAGAGTCAATATGGTTAATAAGTGACCCAAGTCTGATTCAGCCAGTTTACAGGCAACCTTCACAGCATCCAACTGAACAGCACAAGGAAGGAAGCAAAGGAACAGCCCAGGGTTGCACAAGGGCCGGGGAAGATAACACCTCCATGAGGCACGGGCCAGCTGGTGACCAGGCCAGGCAGTGAGATAGCACACTCATCCACCAGACAGAAGTATCAGTGTTTAGCTACTTTGTTCCTAATTAAATTTCTCATTTACTATCATTTCGAGTTTAATGAGCTCTATAGTTATCAGCTTAGTCACTTCATAAATATTTATTGAGCACCTCCTCTGGGCCAGGTAGGAGTCTAAGAACTGAGGATGCAGCATTCGACAAGATATAAAGGGGCCTGAAGGTGGAACAGGTGGAAGAGGGTTAAGGGGGGATAAATGGTGACGGAAGGAGACTTAACTCTCTGAGTGTTGAACACACAATACAATATACAGATGATGTATTAGAGCATTGTACATTTCGAACCTGTAATTTTATTAACCAATTTCACCCCAATAAATTCAATTTAAAAATTTTTTTTAAAAGATATAAATGGACCTTACTCTTCTAGATCTTACATTCTAGAACATCTGCATGTGGAGAGAAAAAGACAACAAACACAAGTTAGAATCTGATAAATGCCATGATGAAAAGCAACTGGAGTGCCCTAGCCGGTTTGGCTCAGTGGATAGAGCGTCGGCCTGCAGACTCAAGGGTCCCGGGTTCGATTCCGGTGGAGGGCGTGTGCCTTGGTTGCGGGCGCGTCCCCAGTGGGGAGTGTGTAGGAGGTAGCTTGATCGATGTTTCTGGCTCTCTATCCCTCTCCCTTCCTCTCTGTAGAAAACCAATAAAATATATTTAAAAAAAAAAAAAAAAGCAACTGGAGTGATGTGGTAGGTAATGACCAGATGGCCACTCAGAACGCATGGTCAGGAAAGGTCTCTACGCAGACATTTGAGCCGAGATCTGAATGTGAAAAAGTCCTCAGTCAACTGGAGATCTGCAGAAAGTTCATTCCAGACAAAGGGCAGAAGGAGCCCAAGGCAGGACTAAGCACCCGTGTCCTGAGGAAAAGAAAGAACACGTCTGGCCATAGCAGGAGGAAGGGGAGGGAAAGTAGCCACGGCCACCATCACGTAGGGACTAGCAGGCCAGTGGTTATGAGACGGGTTTCACTCTATGTGTGATGGGGGCCCCGGGGAGAATGGACCGTGGGGGAGTGAGAATGAGCACAGGAGACCAGTGAGGAAGCTACACGAGGAGTCATCTAGGTAAGAGATGACCGCAGACTAGACAAGGTGAAAACAGAGGGGAAGATAAAAGAGAGTTAGACTATGTTGAAAAACAGGTCAACTCAACATGGACTGGATTTGGAAGTGAGAAAAAAGAAAAAGGAAAGGAATCCAAGATGGTGTCTTAGTTCGGGTTGCCTGGGAAAGAGAGTCTGAGGCCTAAGGTAACTAACTCTGTGGGAGCAGGATCCCAGGGAAGCCAGAGTGAGGGAGAAAGAGAGAAGTGAGGCAGGAAGGCGTGAGAATAAATACAAGGTGTATGTTAAGCTGGCAAAGGCTTCAAAAACCAACCCTGATGATCGCTTTTCCTGTAGAACTTCCTCGGAGAGTGGATGAACCGTGCGTCTTGGAAGCAGTCGGTGGCGGAAGAAGGAAACGCTTTGCCTGCCTCCCGTCGTCGAAGTCTTCCCCACAAGCTTTAACCCACCTACTCCTGGTGTGCGGCCCGCCCCTCCAGAGGGTCCACAGGTCCAGCTGGCCAGCACCGGGGTCTTTCATTGTCAGTTAGCACCACACGTGGGGCTCTTTGGCCTGTGAGGACAGCAGCTGCCGGGGCCTGATGGTCTCAAAGGCAGGGAGCTGGGGTGACTGGGGAAGATGAGCTCTGGTCAGCACAGAAGCCAGCAGAGTTGACTGCTGGCGTTTGGGCTTCAGTTACTAGGTACAGGGTGGGGCCTTTCACTGACATAGCGAAGACTAGAAAGGAGCAGATGTTTGGGAGAAAAATCAAGAGTTCTGCTCTGTACAAGTTACGTTTCAAATACTGACTAGACACCCAAATGGGTATAAAGCAAGCATCGAATATTAGAAAGTCCAGGACTCAGGTGGGAAGACTAGAGATGGTGCTGAGAGCAGGAGGCCATGGAAGTTTGAGAAGGCAAAGACTGTATTTGGAAAGGACAGGAAGCACTTTCTAAACACTGTGGCCCACCAATATTTAGAAAATGAGCAAAAGAAAAGACCAAGCAAAGAAGATGAAGGTGTGAACGTTGAAACAAGGACAGGCACGACAGCGCTGTGGTTAGGGAGCAGTGTGTGTAGGAAGGCAGGGGTCAGCTGTGCTGGACTGGCGAGGCACAGTAAATGAGAACAGAGATATATCTCCGTAAGAGCAGGTCAGCAGATGAGTGGGGACACAAACCTGATTGGAATGGACTGAGAGAATAATCCATCAAGCAATGGAGTTTGTGGAGAAGGAAAGCGAAGAAATTGTAGGGCATATGAGTCAAGGGAAGCTTTTTTTCTTTATTTTAATCCTCACCAGAGGATATTTTTTTCCATTGATCTTTAGAGAGTGAAAGGGAGGGATGAGGGAGAAGGAGAGGAAGAGGGAGAAAGACAAACATCGATGTGAAAGTGACACATCAACAGTTTGCCTCCCACACATGCCCTAACCAGAGCCAGGGATCGAAACTGCAACCGAGGTACATGCCCTTGACCAGAATGGAACCTGAGACCCTCAGTCCAGGCAGGAGTTGGGGTGGGGGTGGGAGTGGGGAG